AGCTTGCGGAACATTTCCACGCCGGTCACGGTGGTCTTCTGCACCGGACGGATGCCGACGATTTCGATTTCTTCGCCAACCTTGATCACGCCGCGCTCGATACGACCGGTCACCACGGTGCCACGGCCCGAGATCGAGAACACGTCTTCGACCGGCATCAGGAATGCCTTGTCGACGTCACGCTCCGGGGTCGGGATCCAGGTGTCCAGCGCCTCGACCAGCTTGATGACGGCCGGCACGCCGATTTCGCTCTGGTCGCCTTCCAGCGCCAGACGGGCCGAACCCGAGATGATCGGGGTGTCGTCGCCCGGGAAGTCGTACTTGCTCAGCAGCTCGCGGACTTCCATTTCGACCAGTTCCAGCAGCTCGGCATCGTCAACCATGTCGGCCTTGTTCAGGAACACGACGATGTACGGCACGCCGACCTGACGCGACAGCAGGATGTGCTCGCGGGTCTGCGGCATCGGGCCGTCAGCGGCCGAGCACACCAGGATCGCGCCGTCCATCTGGGCAGCACCGGTGATCATGTTCTTGACGTAGTCAGCATGGCCCGGGCAATCGACGTGGGCGTAGTGACGAACGGTGGATTCGTATTCGACGTGCGCGGTCGAGATCGTGATGCCACGCGCCTTTTCTTCCGGCGCGGCGTCGATCGCGGAGTAATCCTTGAACTCGCCACCAAAGCGCTCGGCACCGATCTTGGTCAGTGCGGCGGTCAGCGTGGTCTTGCCGTGGTCGACGTGACCGATGGTGCCGACGTTGACGTGCGGCTTGGTGCGCTCGAACTTACCCTTGGCCATGGCTGCTTATCTCGAATTCGTCTGGTGTGGTGCTGAAGATGGTGCTCACAAAAGGAATCGAACCTTCGACCTCTTCCTTACCAAGGAAGTGCTCTACCGACTGAGCTATGTGAGCGAGTTTTGCATTATGGCATGAACTCGATAATATTCAAAGTTCACTCAATGGAGCGGGAGACGGGGATCGAACCCGCACCATCAGCTTGGAAGGCTGAGGTTCTACCATTGAACTACTCCCGCACCGGGAATGTGCCACAACGTGAAGCTGGTGGAGGGAGGTGGATTCGAACCACCGAAGGCGTAAGCCAGCAGATTTACAGTCTGCCCCCGTTGGCCGCTTGGGTATCCCTCCTTTTACCACCCCATTCCGTGCCGCCGAAGCGTTGCGGTGTGTGGTGGTGAGCCCGCAATTCTGGAGATGAAGCGGGGGTCTGTCAACGCTTTTTTTCACTTTTTTTCACGCGCGTCGCAAACCCCTTGATACGCAAGGGTCTGCTCAGGGCAGTGCAATTGTCTCGTCGGCGAAGATGGCCACATGGGCCACGCCATCGGCCCCGATCCAGCCCCGATACATGCCCTGGGTGTTGAAAGGCGCTGCTGCTTTTCCCTCTGCGGAGAGCACGATCGCCCCGCCGTCGCCACCCATCTGCGGAATCGCTTCGTTGATCACGCCCTTGCCTGCCTGTTCCGGCGATTGACCGAGGTAACGCATGCGCGCGCAGATCTCATGGGCTGCCGCGGTGCGGATGTAGTACTCGCCCCAACCGGTACCCGATACCGCACAACGCGCATCGGCCCAGGTGCCGGCACCGATGATCGGGGAATCGCCGACACGGCCATAGCGCTTGTTGGTCATGCCGCCGGTGGAGGTGCCTGCCGCAAGGCGCCCCTGCGCATCCATAGCGACCGCACCGACCGTGCCGAAGTGCTTTGCGGTTTCCAGGTCGGCATGCGCCTGCCCGCTCGATTCTTCCTTCAATGCACGCTGCAGCTGCTGCCAGCGCTTGTCGGTACGGAAGTAGGAGGGGGCGACCAGGGTCACGCCCTGTTCGGTCGCGAAGGCTTCGGCCCCCTGCCCCACCATCATCACGTGTCTGGACTTCTGCATCACCGTCTGCGCGAGCAGGATCGGATTGCGCACGCGCTGCACGCCGGCCACCGCTCCGGCCGCCTGGGTGGCACCGTCCATCACCGCCGCATCCAGTTCATTGCGGCCCTCGTGGGTGAACACCGCGCCCTTGCCCGCGTTGAAGGTCGGATCATCCTCGAGCACCGTGATCGCAGCAGTGACCGCCGCCAATGCCGGACGCCCGGCTGCAAGTTCGGCATGGCCCTTCAACAAGGCCGCCTTCAGCGCAGCGCGCGCGGCCTGTTCTTCCGCCGCAGAGAGATCCTTGCGCTCCACGCCGGCACCGCCGTGGATGACCAGCAGCGGTGATGCGGTGGGCGCGGCCTGGGCCAGCAGTGGCAGGGACAACAGCGCGGATAGCGCCAGGCGCAGTTTCATCGGGTACGTCTCCAGGGTAGTTCAGGGAATGGGTTGTGCTGGTAGTGCCGGCCGCTGGCCGGCAACGCCTTGCCAATGATGCATCCAGGAGGTTGCCGGCCAGCGGCCGGCACTACCGGCGGATGACGTCGATCTCGCCGTCGCTGATGTCAGCCAAGGCCTCGTAGGCCGCCTCGGCCTGCAGGTCGTCCAGGCGCATGCGACTGCCGCTGGCAACCACGGTGACCGGCACCGCATGGAAGCGCAGGGGCTCACCTTCCACCAGCCGATCGGCATCGCGTCCGGGGCTGACCACCCAGACCTTGCCTTGGCCGTCGGCGCTGTAGACCTGGGCCTGGCCGTCTGGCTCCACGCACAGGGCCGTGTCTTCATCGACGCCGATGCCGACCATGTCCGGGTCACCACTGTCATGCGCGGCGCGGGCCACGAACACGATCAGGCGGCCGAGACGGTCGCGCTTGTCGAAGTGGCTGTCAGTGACCACCCGCTGCAGGTAGGGCAACTGCAGGAAGCCGCGGTCCAGGGTCACGGCCTCGCCCATCGGGTCGGCCATGGCGCTGGCCGAATCGATGCTGCCGCCATCCAGCGCGCCATAGGCGTAGCCACCGAGGATGGCCAGCCCGGCGCTGGTACCGGCAATCGGCTTGCCGGCGCGTACGTGGGCATTCAGCGCGCGATTGAGCGCAGTGCCCTTCCAGAAGCGGATGTAACGGGACTGATCGCCGCCGGCGATGAAGATCGCATCGGCCGCAGCCACGACCCGCAGCACGGCCGGGTCGTCGGCACCGCGGCGGTTGTCGAACACCAGAGTCTGCACGGCGGTGGTGCCGCCGATGTCGCGGTAAAGACGGTCCTGCAGCTCATCGGTGCCGGAGGCGCGCAGGATCAGCACGCGACCATTGCCAGCCTGGCGCAGCCACCACTGGAAGGCTTCAGGCACCCATTCGCCCCCACCCATCAGCATCATCGCGGGAGCTCGCGGGCCGGGCCGCGGCGCATCCAGATCACCCACTTCGTAATAGGCGAAGCCGGGGTCCATCAGTTCCTGTGCCGCCGCCGGCGAAGTCCAGAGCGCCGACAGCAGCAAGGCGATGAGCGGGCCACGCAGCCCGTAGCGAAGGCGTCGCATCTTGATCTCCCTGAACAAAAACGACCTGCAACCGTTTTCACTCTTTGCCAGACATATCCCCGGTAGTCAAGGACATGAAAAAGGCGTTAAATGCGCGCGCCCATTGCTGAAATGTGAATGGGGGACAGGGCCCCTCCTCTGCGGGCCGGCATTACTTCCGGGAATTTCTCATGCGTAGACAGGCGATGGCGTGGTCGATCCAGCTGGCGTTGATGGCCGTTGCTGCTTCGACGGCCGCACAGACTCCCGCTTCCTCTTCGGTACAACAGCTGGACGCGGTGCAGGTAACCGGCTCACGCATCCCGCGCGCCCAAGTGGAAGGACCGGCGCCGATCACCGTCATCAACGCAGAGCAGATCCGCTCCAGCGGCTTCACCACCGTGCCGGACGTGCTGCGCGCGATGACCCAGAACGGCGGTGAGACGCAGAGCCAGCAGTCCTCCGGGGGGGCCGATTTCTCGCCGGGCGCGCAGCAGGTCGACCTGCGTGGGTTGGGGCCGAACCACACCCTGGTGCTGGTCAACGGCCGTCGCATCGCCGACTTCCCGATGCCGTTCAAGGGCCGCAGCAACTTCACCGATGTGTCCAACATTCCGCTGGGCATGATCGACCGCATAGAAGTGCTGACCGGCAGCGCGTCGGCGATCTACGGCTCGGATGCGATCGCCGGCGTGGTCAATTTCATCCTGAAGAAGCAGGCCGATGGCACCACCATCGACATGCGCATGGGCAGCACCACTGAAGGCGGTGGTGAATCATTCGACATGAGCCTGGCCAGCGGCTTCAGCAGTGGCAACTTCAACGCGGTGTACAGCGTCGAACTGCAGTCGCAGACGCCGCTGTGGGCCTACGACCGCGACATCCAGGACTCGACCCAGGACGGCCCGACCGAAGGCGCGCGCATCGCCCGTCGTTCCTACCTGCGCACCGATTACAACGATGACTACCTGGACCCGGGCACGGCGACCTGCGAGGCGCTGGCCGGGCAGAACCAGGGCAGCACCTACCGCGCGTTCCGCCCGCGCTACGGCTACTACTGTGGCAGCGACAGCGCGATCGGCTACAGCACGATCCTCAGCAAGCGCCGCGGCGCCAACGGCTATGCCTCGCTCAGCTACGACTTCGACAACGGCCAGCAGTGGTTCGCCGACGTGCAGCTGGGCTACCACACGATGTCGCTGATGCGCGATGTCACCACGTGGGGCCGCATGGCCGCCGACGGCGACGAGTCGGGTTACTTCAACAATGAAGCGACCGGAGAGATCGAGTTCTGGCAGCGCCAGTTCTCGCCCGAGGAAATGGGCGGGCTGGACAATGCGATGGTACGCAGCACGCAGAAGACCTTCAGCGTGACCACCGGTTTCAAGGGCAACCTGACCGGCAGCTGGGACTACGAAGCGGCATTGAGCCATTCGCAGTACCAGTCGCGGATCAGCTGGGCGCAGATCATCGCGTCCAAGGCCAACGATCTGTTCCTGGGCCCGCAGCTGGGCGAGGACGATGACGGCTTCCCGATCTACAACGCCGATCCGTCGCGCCTGTACCGGCCGCTGACCCGTGCCGAGTACGATTCGATCGCCGCACGCACCACCTATACGCCGAAGTCGCGCACCGAGACGGCGGCGCTGACGCTGACCAATGGTTCGCTGTTCACCCTGCCCGGTGGCGATGCCGGCTTTGCCGCGACGGTGGAAGTGGGCCAACAGGCCTATGCGCTCAATCCCGATCCGCTGGCGACGGGCTATTACTACTACAGCTGGAAGGATTCGGACGGCAAGGGGTCGCGCAACCGCTGGGCGACCGCCGCCGAGCTGCGCATGCCGCTGCATGAAACGGTCAACCTGAGCGTGGCCGGCCGTTACGACCAGTACCGCTATTCGGGCCACACCATCGGCAAGGCAACCTGGAGCGGCGGCCTGGAATGGCGTCCGATCGACACGCTGCTGGTGCGCGGTTCGTATGGCACCGCGTTCCGTGCGCCGGACCTGCACTATGTGTTCGCCGGCCCGGGCAACGACGAGACCAGCGCGGAAGATCTGTACAACTGCCGCGCCGATGCCGCCGATGATTGCGCCGATTACGAGCGCAACGTGATCCGCAGCCGCAGTGGCAACCGCGAGCTGGACCCGGAAACCAGCACCTCCTGGAGCGCTGGCTTCGTGTGGTCGCCGACCGCCGGCCTGGACCTGTCGGCCGACTGGTTCAACATCGACATGCGCGACCAGGTGCAGGACATGGACGTGCGTACGATCCTGGCCAGCGAAGCAAACTGCCGGATGGGCAGCGCCGACATCGGCTCGCCGACCTGCGTGGACGCCCTGGCCCGCATCACTCGTACCGCCGACGGCCGTCTGTACGGCGTGCATGTGAACCCGATCAATGTGGCGCGCGAGTCCACCTCCGGCGTCGACGTCGGTCTGCGCTACCGCCTGCAGACCGGCATCGGCGACTTCATCTTCAATGGCACCCACACCTGGGTGAAGAAGCATGACTTCCAGCGCTATGCCGGTGATGTGACCGAGGACCAGTTCGCGATCAACAGCGGCTTCGATATTCCGCGCACCAAGACCAGTGTCAGCGCGACGTGGGAGAAGGATGCGTGGTCGGCCACCGTGTACGGCTCGCGCCTGGGCAGGCTGCCGACCTCGGACAGCTACGACCAGGTGTTCGACGAGGAAAGCGGCGACAGCCCGTGGATCAAGGCGACCTACCGCTA